GGTGCCCACGTGGCTGGCGAAGGACCTGCCTCAGCCCAGCTTTCTGCGCAAGCCCTGCTCTCCTCCGTTCGGCTGTGAAGATGATGGATAACATGTTCCTCAAGGCAGATGGAAGTGGGAGGTCTCTCTTCTGCCTCTGTGGGAGCTGCCTGGCCACTGGCTCCGTCGCAGCTTCAGGCTTCAGCTGCCCTGCTGAATTTGGGATGATTTGTGGGTGCATGCTTCTCGTTGCCTCCCGGCTCCATGGCACTTTGATTACAGCTTCAGGTGGGATGTCTGGGGGGATACGTGGACAAAGTGACCCAGGGAGATGGCAGAAAATGGCACAGAGAGCATGAGGGGCCCTAGACTACATTGGCTGATGAGTATTTGTACCCGGGGAGGGGCAGGACAGCTGGCACTGGCTCTCAGCTGATGGAGGATGCAAGAAGCTCTGCCGGTGCCCCAGAGAAGCTCAGCAGCAGCTGTGAGGCTGAGGGAGGTGGGACAGGAGCCAGTTTTGTCCCCACTGTAGCCAAAACATGGCCTGTGACATTCCCTGGATGGCAGGCACAGGACTGAGGAGCACAGACTGGGGACAGCTCTGTGCCAAGAAGCTGGGGCAGGTGGAGAGGGGGAAGCGGATGCCTCGGAGCCCTGCTGTGATGATTGATGCTTCTGCCATGGAACCCGGCAGAGCGGAGGGCCAGGGCTGCCTAGCCTGGGGCATTACCTCCAGCCCACAGAGAGCTGAGCATGGAGCTTACCCTGTGCGGTGTCCCCTGCCCGTCTCATGGTCCCATGTCACCCCTGCACACCGAGGTCTGTGGGGGACAGCCGGGCAGCACCACGCTGTGGCCAGGGCCGTCATGGGGAGCCTGTTCCAGGGGGTGAGTGTCCCCCAGGCTGGACCGGGTGCTGCTCCCTCATTTGAAGTCCTGCATTACAGCGTAATCTGGCATTAGCACATTAATCCAGTCCTCCCCGCTGCCCAGCCCCTGCCCTCTGCAGAGTCCGGCCCAAGGTCTCAGCGTACAGCTGGGCAGGAGCAGCACCAGGACGCTGTCTCCCCGGCAGCCCTTGCCTGGGCACCAGTGAGCAGGCGGCAGCGGGGACAAGGTTTGGGGCTCCATCCAGAGCACCCTGTGTCTGGGGAGGGCAGTGAGCAGGGAAGAAACCCAAAGTGCACAGAACTCCCCCCGGGTGCATCCAAGACCTGGGGAAAGAGAAGTCCAGGCCAGGGTGGTACAGCCCCAGCCTGGAGCACGCTGGCAAGGGACAAAGCAGCAGCTTTTGGAAGCATCACAGCTGATTCCTTGGAGGGGCTTCATGAGGGATTTCAGAGCCCAACTGCCTGCACCTGTGGGCTCCAGCTGAGCCACAGTAAGTCACCAAGCACTTTGCAGGGGGCCAGGCCAAGGGAAGGGGGTGTCTGGAAAGAGGATGTGAGTCAGCAAGGGGGGGGGGCGAGGGGCCGGAGCAAAAAAGGAAATAGTGGGAACTGGGAGAGCTGGAGGGGGAGCCAGGGTGGACAGGGAGGCAGCTGGTGTCCCCAGGGCAGAGGTGACCTGGCTGTGCTGCGAAGGCTTCTCCCAGCGTGAGAAACGAAGCAAGTGATGACATGGTTCTGCTAAAATAGGAGGGGGGCTACTCCATCCTCCCTTTGATCCCAGACCGTGAAACTGGAAGGCTTTGGGGGAATTGGAGGGGTTCCCCTGCTATCCTGGCAAGAGACTGAGGCCAGGGCAGGGCTCAATCCTGCCCTCTTGCTGGCTAAGCAAAGCCAGAGACAACTATACATATATATGTATGTGTATATATATATTTACGTAGGAAAAATCCTTCTGCCTTTAGTCACGAGGCAGCAGAAGAAGCTGCCAGGCTGTGTGCTCTGCTCCCTCGCTCTTCCCAGTGCAGGCTGAGGCCCTTTGGGACCGCGTTCCCCTGTCTCACCCTGAGCAGGGCACCCGAGGACTCCCCGCAGGTAGGTCTGGAGCCCGGGCCCAAGCACCCCACTGCCAGCCACCTGGGACAGGCTCCCCACCCAGTTGGTGCACCCCACCGCCAGGCACTGTGCTCCCCCCTTCCCCCCGG